GAGAGGAGGGGCAGAGAAGTACGATAATTAGTGCTGTCGCTTTTTCGTTTGTAATTACTCCGTCAAGTGGTCGGTATTGTTCGTTAAACGAACTGGATGATTTTCGCTTGTAATTTGTAAAAATATTCATGTGTCGAGACTTTTAATTAATCTATCGGCCCAAGTTTGACAAATTTCTCGTTGCTGTGGGTAAAAAAAATTTGTCGATAATCCTTTTCTTGGTGTTTTTATTTTTCATTTATAAACGTTTCAAATAATTTATTTTGCAAAACTTGTTTGCAAATTTTCATCACTACCCGTCACGTCGATTATCAAACATAACGTTATCGTTAAATCTTTTCGTTCTTACGAAATTCCTTTTTATCTCGTCGATGTTAACGTATCGCGAAACATCTTTGTCGCACGTATAAAATACCTTTCTTTATCCTTTTCGTATATAGGGAGAAAGTTTTTTTTTTTCAACGATCTTGAGAATTGCGATCGAATTGACGATAAGATATAAAGATAGATGCGTTCGTTTTTTTCATCCTTCTAACGACAATGTATCCATTTTTCGATAAAAGAATATCGATCGAGATAACACGTGTTACCACATCTTCTAGAGATCAACATTATTTTCGTATTATTAGAAACGCGTTTTCTATCTTTGATCTTCTATTTCGAAAAGTCTATCTTATATACGTATCAAATGTTACATATAAGAAAGTTAATTGAAAGGAACTCGATTGGATACTTTTCAATGAAATTTTTTCGATATTAATTTTCATCTGCATAAATGCATAATAACGTATTCTCAAGACCGAGTAGAAACTTTTCCTACGTTAGACCAGATCTGAAACCATTCTATCGGAATAGGGAAATGCGAATATCGAAGGATAATAAAATTTCATCGCCGCGAGAATCGAGCGAAGGGAAAGTGGGTATGCGAGTAGATACGCCGGACTAATAATTACGCTTAGCGATTAATAATATAAATTCATTACCAAAAGCTTTGTAATTTAAATTTCACTACCGTTGGTAACTTTCCGTGTACTCGAAACCTTATCTGCTTTTCAGAGAGCACCCGTTAGCATACAATTAGGACCATTCCACGCTCATTCCAACTACTTACGTTTCTAATCGTCGCAGCCGATCTTTTTCGTTACGTGCTTCCCGGTTGCGAATTTTGGCAGATGCACTTGGACCGCTATATACTAATTTACTGCATACGTAATATTTTTATATATGTATATATTACCCGTGGAAACTTTGAAATTGCTACATAAATTATGAGAAACAGGATATCTATAAGAAAAAATGAATATGCCTTTGTAGTAATTACACTTATTTTTTTAACCCTTTTGTTATGGCATGCTTTAACGCTAGTATCGTTCCATATAAATTTGTTCGTGCATACGTATCGTTAGTTTACTTACTTATCTACATTTTGTGAATGTATTTTCCTTTTCCTTACTTCGTCCAAGGTCAGATCGATATTTCTTATCTTTTCATTATTTCCTACGTTCATTGTATTACGAAATATTATATGTTATAAAAAAGAAGTTTCATGAAGTAGAAAAGAAAAGGTCTGTTACTTACTTGGAATTTTGTGTATACGTATTTTGAAAATGGAAAATATAATAGTTAAGTGTTTGCAAAGTGTGTATTTCTCTAACGGAACATCGCACACGGCTAAAGCTATTTAAATAAGAATGAACTTTTCACATTGGTCGACTCTTTCTCTGTGGCGACGGTCTCGAGATGTAATTTTCACGGTAGGACGGACACGGAGACAGGGAACTTAGACTATCCTTGCTCTTAATGAGCTCCAATCTGAATTTTGGGTAAAGGTCTTTCTCGAAGCCATGGTTGGAGAGAAAATCGAGTTATCAGAGCGCGCGAGAAATTTTCTACGAATATACATACATAAAAGGGTATACATGTAGATAGGTATATACCTAGGTGAAAATCTTGTTAACATTTTTCATTTAGGGTAATACAATCTTGAAAGCAATGCGCAAACATTGATCCTATAAGGGATGCATAACTTCGATATAGATCAGGAGATTTGTTCGTTGATGTCGTCTACCTTCCCTGCGATGAAATTTCATAGATGAACGGCGAGAAGTAAAAGCTGGGACGATCGAATGCCAACGTCAGGTTCTTCGCAATTTTCTATGATCCACACGTTCCTTCGAAGAGCTAACGAACAGAGCTATTTGAGCGATCGGAATTTTCGGTATAACCTATCTACATCGATCGTTAACGCAACTACGTTTACGAAATGACTGTAGTTGGGATCGACGATAAAGGACGAGCTTTACTTGCGAAGCCTCTGACAAAGCAGAACACATTTGTTTCAAACAGTTAGAATTTCACCGGCTCTGCTTGGCTATAAAATGATTTAACCGGCATTTCCCATTTCTCCATCGAGGGTACAAATTATCCTTAAATCTTCTACATATATCTGTCATTTTGAGTTTATTGTTAGTAAAAATCATGAGAACTAAGAAATCAATTTCTCTCTAATTTGTTTACGAATCATTGTTTTACTTTTATCAATATTCAAAATAAAGGGGAATTATTTAATATCTAGGACAGTCTTGGGTATTAAAATTTGAAAAGACGTTATTGTCCGACTGAATCGTAAAACGGTAATAAAATTAGAAACGTTCCTTGAATATGACTCTCGTATATAAAAGGGAAATGGATGAGTATAAGATAAAAAGGATTTCAAAGCTATAGCATATAACGTGAACGGTGCTAAAGCAATTTTCTTTAGAAGATAAATCTATAATTTTGTAACACTAAAACTAGACGATATGACGTTGATACGAGCAAAGAAATAAATTAAGTGTATAAGTAAAGAGCGAGGGAAAATTGATCGCGAGTTCTACGAAGGAAGGTAAAAAAATTCCTTAATATCGAAGCATACTCTTATGCACGGATGAGAGAAGGAAAGTAAAATTGGCAAAATCGCGAATAAAGGAATGCTAAAGGGATTGGTTGAAAAGAGGAGCAAGAGGGAGCGCAAGAGAGAGAGAGAGAGAGAGAGAGAGAGAGAGAGAGATGCTGGTTAACGAGAGAAACGAGTTGAAAGGAATATCTTGCGAAAGAGGAGAAAGAAGAAGAAGAAGTGAATGAAACGAGAGTAATGCAACCAATTAGTAAGAATTAGCATGGAACAATGTCGGTGGAAAGGGTGTGGCGTTGGAAGAGGCAAAACTGAGAAGAAAGAGTCCCAGCACAACCCTTTTCTACATCCTTTCACCCTTTCTTCCCTTTTACTTTCTTCCTTTCCTCCCTTTGCACCACTAAAATAATTACCGGTGTTCTTCTTCATCCTTTTCCAGTTTTCTCTACCACCTTCAACCGTTAAATGATTTCCGTGAGCTTCCTGCCACTGTCGGTGCTACTTCGAAGCCGAAGTAATCCTGATGAACGGTCAGGAACTGCGAGTATTCTCTGCTGCTTTCGACGTGAGAAGCAAGGAGATAGAGGGAGAGAGAAAGAGAGAGAAAGAAAGAAAGAAAAAAAGAAAGAAGCTGGTGATTCGTTTCCCTATGAGAAACAACGTAGGGTTAATCCACTCTCTAAGAATAAAGACGCTTACTTTATTTTTTTTTATTTCCTTTTATTTTCTAACAAAAACTTAGATCGTTAGCTTCGGGCGTTGGTCTTCTTGTTTCTTGCTCTTTCTCAATGAAACCAGACGCTTGCTAAAAAGTTTCCAAGCAAGGAACTCACGAGTTAGAAGAGAAATGAGAAAAGAGACATGATATGTTACAAATGATTGAAAATACGCTTACATATACGCTTTTTATTATGTTTTCTATATCAAACTATGATCAAATAATGATTTTTTAATTTGTAAATGTTGTTCATAAAAGATAATCGATATTTCCGCTAAATATCTTTAGAAATTTTCAATCAAAATTATAAATACAATTAATTCTTTCTTTATTTCTTAATATGTTTCTTTTTTTTTTTTTTTTTTTGAATTTTGCAATTATCATTAGACTTTACATCAAATAATTAGTTAGTATTTGTTCGCGCAAGTAGAACGTTCTAAGTCGACGCTAAAAAGGGTTACTAAAATATACCTACTTTTGTATATGTATATCGGAGTATATTAAAGTTAGCAAGGAAAGGACAGATTGTCGGACATTTCAAGGAGGACGTAATCATCTTTTCCCAGCTATAGGAACGGCATGCCAAGGAAAATCCATTCTCGTCACGTCGAGAAGAACGGGCACAGTTGAGACTTGGTTTAAACTTTCCCCTCTCCCTCACTCTTTCTCCTCTATCCTCTATCTTCTACTTCCCACCCCCACCCACTTTGGTAAAGCTAGATTCGCTTCCCTTTTTTCGCATCTCTTTCAACGACGACGGATGAAATTAAAATTCTTCATGAGACCGAAACGTCACGTACCGAGTCGGTCACGTCGTTGGTTTTGCCCCATCGTTGGGTTAAGGGTAACGTGC